TGCCATATCATTCCTACCTTAGTTTAATATGCTTCTTCTATTGCTTCTGAGCTTGACTCATGAGTTTTAAAATTCTTGCTAATTTAGACATTTGTGATGACCTTCAACAACAGAACAAAATCTCTACCGTCTAAGCATTAATCAATTGTTCACTTGCAACATTCCATAGTGTATTTTGTGTTTCATAAATAATGTGACTTGATAGTTCCTATAATGTTCGAGTAGGTAGCTTTTTTTTTCCACTTATAGAAAAGGAGAATATCAAAATAGGAGGGGACGAGGATGTACGAAACAGAAACTGAGACATTTAACAGTTATTTTAAGGCAAGATACAAATGCTTCAATCACCATAATATATTTGATATTTAGCTATGTTCCATAGTAAATTTATTGACTTTGTTTTGAGCTCGAAAATTTAACGAAATTAGAAACGATATATAAAGAAAGCAAAAGTATATGAATTTTCATTTGGTTCTTCTCTTTATTTCACCAATAGATTTGTCTTAAAGTGATAGATATTGTTAAGAGCCCCAAATTCAATCATTAAATATTAGTCAAAATAGTAGAAAATGAGTGTGGAAACATAATTGTCTTTCAAGGACTAAGTTGAGATATATTATCATAGACATTTATCGATAATATTTGCACCGATACATTCAACCTTCAAATCCGACATGAACAAAAGTTTGAATAACTGTATAAATTGTTATAATCGTACTCACGAAGTGCACACATGAATCGATAGTGTCCCCTTATGAATTCTTGATTAGGTAAACAATATTGCCTGTTGAAATTAGTACTAATTCTGTCATGGTTGTAAATGGCTAAATGCAATTGTCCTTCATCTCCCAAACATTCCACTTTCGAGCCAAAAAGAAAAAAACAATTGCAATCTCCATTGAGTTATTGCACGGTTTTCTTGAGGGCATCGACTCATTGTATAGTAACAGATATAGCTTGTGTTGGGACACTTTTCTAATGTTGAATGTTTAGATAATTTAATGTAATATATGTTCAAATCTAGTTCTTTCAAGTATTAATATATTTTTTTACGCCTTTATTCCATGTAAATGTTATGCGTAATAGTTAAGATCAGCATATCTAAAAGTGTCATGTACTTTTTTTTTTTTTTTTTTTTTTCGACACAGGGGTGTCTGGGTCAATCCTTACGGGGCCCGATTAATCCCCTGTAACCCGTGCCCGGCGCCCCCAGCCCGGCCCGAACGCGTTAAGCGCGCGGAGGAAAAAAGTGTCATGTACTTGCAGCACTTCAAATTCAACTCTCAAACAGACTCTAGTGAAAAGGGTAATGATATTTGCATTTTTCATTAACTTCTTGCACATATTTTGAATGTTTGTTGATATCATATGACAAGCATGTATATTAGGCAAATACATAATGAAGACCTGCAGGCAAGCACTTTGATGGAGCGTGAATACCAATACACTACTAAAAATTAATCTAAGTAGTGTGTGAATATCCGTACACTACTTAGACAATAAAAATAGCCAGCTCATAGGTTTCCTCCTCTACCCTCCCTCCATAGGAGGGAGATCTTGGCCTTAAGCCAAGGTCTCCCTTCCTCTTCCTTTGTCCTTTGCTCTTCCTTTCATTCAATAAAGTATCTCCTAGGTTATCCTAGTGAGAGTTTTCTTCTCTCATAGGGTGTCCTATTGAGAGTTTTAGTCCCTCCTAAACTATCTTAGTGAGAATTTTATTTAGTTTTGTTTCTTTACTTTTTCAAATATTGGAGTTTTTTTTAGATCTATATGTTAGATCTACAATTTCTTCAGTCTTCTCATCAGATCTCACTTTCAATATTGAGCTTGAACCAGTTGGACAGCAGATTTGAGGGAATATTTCATATTTGGATCAATCTCGGCAGATCTCACTATCTTTATTGGACCTTACAACTGTTGATTAGCAAATCTGACGATTACAACATACACAAAGAGAGTTGCAGCGACTTATTCTATGATGAAATGTTTTTCAAATTTATGGTACTTTTTAGATCTGTCCTTAATTTCTCAAATCTTATGTATTTGTTAAATTGCAGATCTATAATTTTAGTGCATGTTTATCTGCCATGAGGGCAGCAATGTATCTCAATTGTGTTGCACGATTTCCAGTAATCCTTGAATAAAATATGTTTTATTATCAAAAAAACAGCCAGCTCATGTTGAGTTTTGGTTAGCTAGATTGTCAGGGTTGAATCCAAAGTCGGCCAACTACATGTTTTGTTGGGCTGTGAATCTTGGTAGTTTATAGATGAAATAATCAGCCAGTTTGTTTGATTGATGGTTCAAGTACAGTCCGACTCGTTGGTGTTAGTAGGCATATTGCAACGCAGGTTTCAGTGCCCGTGGCAAATTCGTAAAGAGGTATTCCAAATATGGCAGCTGGCTGAGGGTCCAGAGCAATTCTCTCATTGCTTCAGAGAAGCAAACAAGGTGGTAGACATACTCGCTAATGAAGGTCTCTTACAGCCACTTGACCCGATTAGGGTTTATGACCAACCAAGTCGCCTGCCACAGCTGGCAAGAGGGGCAGTCAGGTTGGATAAATTAGGTCTTCCCTCTCTCCGATTTCTTAAAAAATCATCTGCATAACTGGCCTCCAAACTTTCGTAGAGTTAAAACGTATCAAGTGCCATGTGATATTTTGTTGAAAAAAAAAAAAGATTGATGGTTCAAGTCATTAGTTTAGTTAAACTAGGATAACTGTAGTAATCCTAGTTCCATTTTGATTAGTCTAAGTAGGGTTGTTGTCCATAAATAGGCGAGTCTTTTCTTTGTAATAGGAATTTGAAATACCTTAGAACTATCCTAAATGTTGGTCCGACTTACGAATCAACAGTCACACTTAATTGTAGTGTCATTCTATCCAAACTTGATTTACCAATTCTAAATCTTGTGGCTCGTCATGTTACGAGTTGCGTCTAAAATAGGGCGTGAGTTGTATCAATGTCACAATATTCCTGTCTTTTGTGTGAATTTTTTTGGTATCAACAAAAGTGATATTTGCATAAAATATTGATTTAAAATTGGATTAACATATTTTTGTTTCCTTTAAGAGCATGGATAAGATATGTTTTAAGTGATAAGCAACGATCTTGATCAAAGTTTCTTCAACTACTTTTTTTTAAGTAATAATAATGATATCTGCTCTAGATCTATTGAACGCAATTAAACAATAAATTTATTAATTTTCGAAGCCTATTCATGCTATAAAGTTTTAAGTAAAAACCAAATCCATTTGAAAGTGTTCCATGAAAATGTCCCTTCGGTCACAATGTACATCGTAGTTTGGTTATGCGAGAGAAGTTTGCATAGATTTTCACCCGCTATCTAGGATAATTAGTCATCATCAAATCTATTTTAAATAACTTTTGCAGTGTTTATTTTTCTAAAATCATTAAAGTACTAATTAAACCACAAAAGCCTAAGGTACAGATTTCTGAGCAAAGAATAGGAAATGTCTTTACCTTCGGCGTTTTTAAAAGCAAAGGGCAATAAACATATTATTATAAATACAATATAAGCTTTTTACTTGATTGGAATTAGCAGATTCAAGCTGAAGTTTTTTTTTTTTTCTAAATCCTCTCTCCCCTCTCCACACTCCTTCCCATCCTACAATTAAGTGGAAAAATGCTTCAATCACCATAATATATTTGATATTTAGCTATGTTCCGTAGTATATTTATTGACTTTGTTTTGAGCTCGAAAATTTAACGAAATTAGAAACGATATATAAAGAAAGCAAAAGAATATGAATTTTCATTTGGTTCTCTTTATTTCACTGATAGATTTATCTTAAAGTGATAGATATTTTGTTAAGAGCCCCAAATTCAATCATTGAATTTTAGTCAAAATAGTAGAAAATGAGCGTGGAAACATAATTATCTTTCAAGGACTAAGTTGAGATATTTTATTATAGACATTTATGGATAATATTTGCACCGATGCATTCAACCTTCGAAGCCGACATGAACAAAAGTTCCAATAAATGATTTAAAATGCCTCCTCTGTGAAATTTTGAGTGTCAGCAAATTAAAGTGATGTATGCATGGACATAATGGTCTAGAATTGGAATAACATATTTTTCTTTCTTCCTTAAAAGCTGGAAATAAGATGTTTTAAGTGAGCAATGATCTTGATCAAACTTTCTTGATCCTATGTGCACTATAAGAAAAAAATGTTTTTAAGTTACAAAGGTACTACCTCAACTCACAAATATTATATCCATTCTATATCTTTCTCAATATCATTCCTAGTAATGCGAGTAGAATTAATTTGTAATCCTTGAAACTCCTCATCTTAATTATAGCTAAACTATGGTTATTTCCACTTGTGAAAGTCTGAAACTGATCATGTCGACATAGTGAGCTAAACTACATTTTGAAGAAACCTATTTAAACGGCAAGGAGAATTTTCATAAAGCATTAAATATCACATAAGGCAGTTATAAGAAGTAATATAACAATCTTTCTAAGATGGCATCGGATATCATCTGTCATCCACCGCAGCGACATTAGATGCATTTCTAAGGACTTTCTTAAATAGTTAAACTAATTTTGGTTGAAAGAAACACAAAAAATATGAGTTATTATTATAGCAAAATATATAGTTTTTTTTTTTCCCTCAATCCTCCCTCCCCTCTCCACACTCCTTCCCATCCTCAATTATCAGCCTCATGACTCAAACTTTGAATTTGACACTTGCGGGAGCTCATAGCCGCTGAACCAACATGGCCCAGTGGGATGAAGCTGAAAGTTCGAATGATGACATTACAATAGCACAAAATTATAGGGCTAGCTATAGTAATTAGGTGATGTTGGTGTGTATTTTCACACTGACCTCATCACGGACGTGTAAAAACGGGTTCCATGCTGGTGGACCATGATTTTGGTGATTAGGTCCGACATTATGACGAATTGATTTATGGGGTGCATTACCACATTTTTAGGCCTATAAATACAAGGAGTCTGGTTCTCGGCTATACCAAGTTTTCGACAGTAACCAGTTACAAATATCAGTGTATTAGCTAGCGAGTTCTTCAAGGAAAAGTTGGCTGGACAGGTGAATATTGATTGTATGCCTAGCTGGACCTAGATTTCTTTCTTTTTCAAGTTTGTGTGTGGTTTTTCGGTATCAACTCATAAACAACTTGTATAGGAACGCTTCAAAAAGGTTAGGGAGTTGCAAATTAAAGCAATTTCAACATTCTTGAATTGTCTTAAGAAATATTTTGTATTTCTGGTTGCCTACATGCATATGGGTAAGCGGTCTCTAGAATTGTTTGATTAAGCTTCCTGCCAGCAATGTAGTTTCTTACTAATTGGTTGGATTTAGTTTTGTGGTTGGTTGTCTGAAATAATTCTAATTGATTTTGGGAACTCAATTGTTTTGGGTTTTCTGACTGAGAAAAAAAAATGTTCGGGGTTTACAGATGGACCTAGTACCAGTGAACCCGGCTGAGCCTCACGTGACCGCGATTGGACAATTTGCAGTGGATGAGGAAAACAAGAAGCGGCCGACTAATAAGCTGAATTTTGTCGCCGTGGTTGGCGGATACCATGGGCCCGTTACTGGAGCCACTCGCTACCCACTCATCCTTGGAACTCAGGATGGTAAAGGCCACACATTTCTGCACAAAGCACTTGTCCATGAGAAACCAGATGGAAGCTTGGAACTCAAAGGGTACTGGGAGTAATCAAGCGCTACCCTTGATCATCAACTGAGGATCAACGACTTCAAGTACTTTAATTATCTAGTGTCTATATATGGTGTGGTTTTCAGTTTATGCATGCATGGATGATGTACAGCTGCCATGCATACATCTTCCCACTGTTTTATTAGTATGTTGAATAAGGTGCACTTGTACCAACAAAAATGCACCATTCCGTCTCTGTTTGAGTTTGTGTCTGTGTCTTTTGTGTCTGTGTTTGTATCCTTGTACTGGTATGTTAAATAAATAAAAACAGTCGTGAGTTTGAGTTTGTATCCGTGTATTTTGTTTCTTTATTACTTGAATGCAGGCTCCAATCTCTCAGTTCTGTATGTCAACTGGATACTATATTCATGACTAGTTATAAATTCTTAGTAGTTAAGTATTACTTGAAATGAACACAAACCTGAGAAAGAAATGAAAGATTAACTGCTATATTGAGAGAAAGATATGTAACTCTGAAAACCACAGTTCAAAGATGAGAAAGATATATTTTTCCCCCTTTTTCATTTATTTTTGCCAACTTGATAGATAGTATTAAGATACTAGCCAGTAGCTCCTTTAGTGCAATAAGTAGGAGATCCAAAATGCGTGTTAAGGGTTCGATTGAAAGTTCGAGATATGTGATTAGCTAGTAACTAGATTGGTGAAGATGTGATTGGGCAAGTTGAGTTGTGTTTTAATAATTGCAAAATTTGATGTATTCCTCACCAAGTTAATGTATACAAATATTCACATGCAGTAAGACCGTAAGAATTTACATTATAAAATTTTCTTTATCAGCTATTAATCTTCTGCTCATTCTGTTTCATTATCAGCTTTCATCCTTCGGAGATGCAACTATTCATGGGGAAGCAACTCCAAATACATCATTAGTCAATTCCTAATACTTATGTCCAGGCTCCAATTCCAGGCTCAATCACGCCAGTCCATCTGAACCATCATTTTACCTCAACTTACTGCCACACAAGGGTCCTTTCTATTTGCTTCAGTGCTAGCTTCAGTGTTTTCCCAAACCCGCCCACGAAAAAATAACTTCATTCCCTCCAACAGATTTTGTAGGAGATGGGAAAAGAGGCCAGTTCAAAATTATAAATTTGCTCCCTATTTTCTTACAAGACCAAGAAATATATTTACAAAAGCTAAAAACATATCTACAATTACCACTTTTACTTATGGGGTAAAACTAAGTTACTATTCACTTTTTTTTTTTTTAAATGGTTATTTTAAACTTTTGCATTAGATGAGAAGCGACTCAAGTAATTGCTTAAAACGAAGAGATTAAAGCACAATTTACCTCTAACTTCAACAGGTAAAGGCACAATATAAGGAACTTTTTCGGAGCTTGCTTCTCCACATAAAGAAGTAAATTCTAATTGTATTATCTGCAATGCATCGACTTACTGTATAGTAACAAATATAGCTTGTTTTCTAATGTTGAATGTTTAGATTTATGATATGAGTGTATACAAATTTCCGTAAATTTTAGTGTAATATATGTTCAAATCTAGTTCTTTTACACCTTTATTACATATAAATGTTATGCGTAATAGTTAAGATCAGCAGCGTATCTAAAAGTGTCATGCACTTCAAATCCAAGTCTCAAATAAACTCTAGTGAAAAGGGTAATGATATTTGCATATTTCTTTATCTTCTTGCACATATTTTGAACATTTGTTTGTATCATATGACAAGCATATACAGTAGGCAAATACACAATGAAGACCTGCAGGCAAGCACTGTGATGCGTGTGTGAATATCAATACACTCCTAGAAATTAATCTTCTATATATATTACCAAACCCTCAATATTCAAATATTTTCCACAGTAGGCTATGTCCCTCTCCCATAAGTATTTTGACAAAGGTGTGATTCTTTAGCTCAGATGTTGATTCCGCAGTAGAATTTTGAGAATATGTCCTGTATAGGAGGCACAATTAGCGCCATCCAATTGGCCCAAAACTCGGTTCAATTAGCTAGGCCTGATGTACAAATTAAAGAGAAGGTAACTTTGTAGTACTAAAATTCATCATTACAGAAAAATTTGCAGGGCATCCCTTAGGAAAAATAATTGTGAAAACCCAAGAGGCTCAGATGCACATGAGGCCAAACTTTAAAGTTCTCAAAGTTAGAGTAGAAAAATTTGATGGAGTTTGTGAAAAGAATTTATTGCAATTTGATTGAAACGAGTATCTCGTTTCCAAAAAAAAAAATAAGGCGTTTCTCAGAGCCAAGTGGTAAGAATTTATTGCTAGCCTTATCTAAACTTTTGGACCATATACTATCTTAGTCAAGATGATAAGCAATTGGGACCCTAATCATATAAGGAAATCTAACTACAAAGCAATTGAGACTAATCTTTGTTCCCTTGTAGAAACTGAACAGTTGCGACTGACAAAAAAAGGATAAAATCCTTATACGAACATTCTCTAGAAGAAGATATATACCACTGAAAAATAGAAACAAAATTGCAGCTTATTTTCCCAACGCTCAGCATTTTACATCAATTAGAAATGGCAAACAATAGAAAACTTGAATGGTGACCAAAGCACGAATATAATCTTTTACGAAGTGTTGGACATGAATAGTGACCTCGAATAGATGTGACACCACTACAACAAAAATGGCCTTTAGCGACATTTAAAGGTATCAGTATAGATAATCTAACCTGACACTTTATCTATCCTCACACCTAGGGCGAGTGTTGTCCCTTCCAATGTGGGGATAGCCTCAAATCTTTAGCAACATTCAAATGTGTCAGGAAAACCATGCTGCTATAGCATTCCCTCTGCCAACAAAATTTTTTTTTTGTGATAATCGAAAGTGTCAGTATACCATTAGAACATCAGTAGCGGATCAATAGGATATCCAATTTATGAAGGCATCTTGAGTTGTCTTAATATATGGCTTTAAGGACACGTAGCCATGTGAATTTACACTGCTTTGGACGACATGCCCATTTGTCATTAGTGTTTTTCGAAGCTAAGCTATGCTGACACTTTTAATTGCTAGGAGTTTTTTCTCTATTTTTTTTATATGGAAGCAACCTGCAATTAGTCCTCCCCGCTGTACATTCCATCAACCAGAATCCCAAGGGACTTGTAAAATTAACCCAAAGAGCAGAATGCATATAGCAATTTAAAAGAAGAAATCGATACTCAAATATAATTCATTGAATTAAAAGTCGGTAACAAGTACAAACATAGCAAGTACTAAAATCCCAAACAAGTACTAAAACATTCTCATGTACACAAACTTGAAATACTCTCTTGTGCACAAACTAAAAGATTCTCATCCCTAACAAGTTGAAAGAACTAACAGTAGCTTCCAAACTTTCCAATGAAATGAGAGCTTTCAATCATAACCACGAAGTCCCCATCAATCTTCAGCTGGTTCCACCTGTGCACAAAGTTTGTGGGAGATCATTAGATCATCATACTAACAAGAGCTTTCCAGAAAAGCCACTATGTATTTGCTAAAGATCAAATTAAATTGTCGTGATTCCAGAGGCGAAGCCATTCATGATGAGACCTAAGAGCCACGATGTAAAGATATGAACCCCTTTTCCACTACTCTGGGTTAGGCCACGAGCCATGTCATTTTGTTTGATTCAAAGTTAGGAACCATTCTAAGGATTTAAATTTGTTCAAATTTTCTGTATTCGACGAAATAATCACTTCCAGGGGGAAATTTTGCAACCCACTCACACTTAAGATCAATCTGCTATCAATGAAAAACTAAACCTTGTATCCACTCAGTAACATAAAGTCAACTGCTAACAAAACTAGTTACATGCATTTCATATCGGCAATTACAGGACAGATCAATGCGTAAAGTTAAAAGCTTTCAGAATAAGTATTAGCAACTCAATGCCCATAAAGCCAATACATAAATGTGCAGCAGTAGCTGATCATGAAGCTTTAGTTGCATTTACTTCTTAAATATTAGCTAGAGAAAAGATCATAACGTTTCCCACCTGGAAGCTTTAATTTCATCTATTAGTTACCACCTCATACTTGCCAACAACCATAATCACACCACTCATCCTCTTATACCAACCACAAAGTCCAATAAACCCAATCTCCTGCCCCCTGACCCTCCTCTTCCCTACCCAAAAAAAAAAAAGAAAACTTAAAAAAGAAAGAACAGAACAAGAAATGGTTCTTGGAACATTTACAATTTTCACAACCCTTTCACAACAAATACATGGAAAACACTAATGAACATCATCTGTAGGCCCAATTGAATCAAACAAAACTGACTACTAGTGAAATAAGAGCCTTTAGTCATAACCATGAATATCCCATCAATCTTCAACTGGTTCCTCTTATCTCACTGGAAAGGTTAAACAACAGAGATATCTTGGACAAAATTTCACGAAGCACTAACATCACAAATGAACGAATCCAAGTGCTCAATGAAGAAGTTTGAATGATTACTTGTGATTACTTGTTCACTGGATTGTCACAATTAGCACATCTAGACTATATAGTAAGTAAACATATCAAATACTAATAAACAAGGATAAGGGAGTGATTTTCGAATTATAGAACTAATTAATAACATTAAGATATTTGCTTGAGTATTTGTTCTGTCCCCTTTAAGGCATCCTATGATTAAATCATAGCAATTGAAAGAACATAGGTACAAACAAAACTCATTACGTCAGTCAACCCAGTTATTAAAAGAAATTAAAAACTCCCACAAGCCTGCAGCATTTTTGTCTAAGAAAAGCCCATGACGTGTCTGCTTGAGAGCACAAACAGTTAATTGGCATTAAAGACGAATTACCATGGAGTAAAACTACACAGGTATGCAGAAAACGAACTTAAAGCACAATGGAAAAGGAAATTGCAAAATGCGTACCAAAGAGAGATCAAATTAAAGAAAAAGGCTAACATTCAATAGTCAGTCATTAAATACGTATTGTATAAATAATATCTCACCCTTAGTTCCACACGGGAAAGATAAGGCCTCTTCTCTGTGTCATGAGAAAATTGAACTTTTCCCTTTTTCTCTCCTGACTTCATCCATTCCTTATTAACATTGGGACAAATCCACATATCTTCCATGTCTTCTTTCGAAGTTCTGGAGTTCCAAGTTGTATTCAATGGACCTGCTGCCTCGTGTATAAACACACAAAATTTCTTTTTCAGTACAAATTGGAGTGAATTAATAAAAGATAGAATGAGATTCACAGTAGTCATATCATAAAATTCAAAATGCTAATTTGGTAAAAGTCAAACTAGTCAGGTTTCAAGGATTGACCTAGAAAAATTGGATATAGGTTAGACTGATTAGGCACTATTTGCAAGGAATTCATACTAATAAAACACCAGAAAAGATATTTCATTCTGGAGAAAGTGCACTTCTTCTGTCTCCTTAACTAAGGTATCCAAATAGAATTACAGCTTTATGTTTTGGTGTAAAGACAAAATAGTTAAACCCAAAATGTTCAAGAAACTAAGATGAGATATTTCTAGGACAGAACAACTTAATCTCAGTCCTCCACTTGTTCTATCACTAAACCAACGACATAACCCGAATCATATTCCAACAGGGAGACTGCATTTTTTCATAGATTAATCAGAAGATAACAAAATTTGAAATACAGTAAAAAACAACGGAACATGTGTATCTACCAACTTATAAAGCAATGATCATAATACTTGCACATTAAAAAAAAATTACAAGTTTAGCTCAACTTATCACCTTCGAGTTAACAAGGAAACATACACTTATCAGCAACAGAGTCTTATGTGACTATATATATTGACACAATTCGTTTACCCAACCTAGATTGATTAAATTGACGACTATATGAGTTATTTCAAGCTACAGTAGAGCATAGCAGTAAACATTCATTGTTGCACAAAATCAAAATGATCTCCATGCCAAAAATAGCATCTTCATCAAGTAGCCAATCAAATGAGACTACTAGCTTCTAAAAAGAGATTTACCTTCTTGTATTATTGTCAAAGCTACAAATTAGTGTAGTATCAATATTAGAAAATGAGTTTCTTTTCACTAAATTTCTATTAGTGTATATATTATTGAGTAAATTAATATCAGTACCAAAAGAAAGAAGGTTGACATTTTATCGAACAGGTTATGGACAACAAATCCTTAAAGCTGAACAGGGAGATTTAGCAAAAAACATTATATCAGATTCAACAAAAACATTGTATCAGATTCAAGTAGACAACCAATAGGAATCAATTTAGGGCAGGAAGAAGTAAACGAGGTATATCATGGGGGTTAAAGAGAGTCCCGCACCCCTTTCACCTGGTCTTTTTGTCCTTGGAGCGGAGGTTCCTACTATAAGACTAGAAACTGGAAATCAAATTGCAAAAGCTGCAAGAACTGCATTAACTCAAGGACTCAGCTATCCAACACTCTTGTGGCTAGGCTGGTGGGAGATTGGGATCTTTGTAGAAAGGCAGGTTGTCCCTAATGCCCTCTATCGAATAAGGAGTAGTAGTACCCCAACCAAACAAGGGTTAGTTGTGTGGTAGCTGGAATCTGGCTTGCTGCCAAAGGGGTTGGATATCGATTGTTCCGCTGTCACCAACCTGATTGCTCGCTGCTAGATATTAATAGCCCACAAGTCTTCATCCCCATTTCAGTTAGGGCAGATGGCTCCTGTGTGGGCTGTTGCTTTCGCATGGCCTGCTTGAAACTACCCAAGTTTGCCAAGGCACGATTGTGTGCACTTGAATTTAGGGCCTTAGCCTCCTGGCACTCCAACTTGCAACGACGAGGGAATTAAGATCTTCGGCAAAAGCCTCTTTCTTGGGGTCCCAAAAAGAGAGAGCCAAGAAGCGGTGGCACTTGAATCGCAGGTTCTGAAAACAGTGAAGGGTCTCTCGAGGAGAGGCCCAAGCATAATTACCGGTCTTAGCTCCTTCCTCCTCAGATGGACAGAGCCTCCTCTTTCCTTGGGAATTTCTTTTCTCTCTTTTTACTTTTTTCAAAGCTTTCATGTGGTGGGTTTTGTCCCAGATCCTCTTTCTGCAGTCCATACCTTCAATAGGAAAGCAAGGGTAGTTTGATTGCGGAGAGATTCAACAGAAAAAACTTTGTGGGCAAAGACAAATTTTGGCCGAGAGTTTTGAGAGATAGTTTGCCAAGAGAGAGTTTGTGGGAGAGATGAGAAGAATCAAAATTTCACTTGCCGGCAAAATGAAAGATTTGAGATTTCACTAAGTGTTTTGGCAGGCAAAGGAATCCTCTACCAAAATCAAACGACATGGTTTTGTGTTTTAACTTTTTTGATGTGTCTCACATTTTCTCAAGTGTCATGATAGGGAGCCTAAAGATACATTATTATTTTTATATCAGATAAAATAAAAAAAATTAAAGTATATATTATTGAATTAATAACAAGTGTCATGATAGAAGTGTTATAATGACACAAACCAACAAGTGTCCTTATAGACGTGTCAGGAAAGACCATTTTTGTTGTAGTGCACGGTATGAAAGCGTGATAAATCAAAGGGTCACACAAATACTCTTCATAGGAAGAATCAAAGGTGATTCACAATCAATCCTAAGAGAAATTAGGATTCAGACTAGAACCTACACAAGATTCAACCAGAATCTCATACCCAAATATGCAATTGTCTTAAAAATATCAATAGTATTATCAATGCCTAAATAGTAGAACCCAAAGGATAATTATTTGTAGGCTACAAGTAGGCTATACCAAATAGAAAAAAATACAATTAAAATAGAACATTGGCTAAACTTCGCAGTGCCAATCAACTAGGATCCATAGACGGATCCGTTTCGGCTGGTTGCGAATTCGTCTCGCCAACGTCTGCCTCGAATTCTGCTAGACAGTCTGGCAGTGGATTCGAGGCTTGGATTGCATGTGCGACCCTTTTCCTTCTTTGACCATTCTTCTTACACCATCTTTTATTGACACAGATACAATTAAAATAATAGATAAATAAATAAAAATACTAATTAAACACGAAAATTCACCCTAACTAGGAACCCTAAATGAAGTATTATTTAAATAGACAAGGAATACGAGAATCTATAGGTCCTCATTTTGTGTTAGACTCTCCCATGGAGAAGGTTGATACACGAGCCATGAGAAGTAGCCACAATTCTTCCACGAATCTTGTAGGGTCGATGCTTGCAATGGAACTGTTGTACCTATTCATGAACATAAGGAACTACATATGATCTTGGGACAATTGCAAAACCAAAAATTGCACCATCCAACAAGGTGAGAACAAATTTGACTATGTATAACTATAACAACATAGGGAAACGGCACAAACAAGAGGCTCATTTGGAGCGAATCTCCCAACTGTATACTTATCTTGGACACGGTGTCTACATCCTTGTCTTACACATGTATACTCATCATGAACTCATCTGTTGAAGTAGCCTTGTGCTTCAAGCCGATCGAATGCTCACATAAGCTTGTCACATGTCTACATATAGTGTTCAATCTAAGAATTGTTGTGATATGCATTAGTGATCGTTGCAAGAGAAGCCTGCTCTGATACCACCTGCTGTAGTATGCAAGCGTGCATGATAAAGTAAAGGGGTTACATGAACATCTAAGAATCAAGGTGAACCACAATCAACCCTAAAAGAAAAACATCATTCAAACTAGAACCCAAACAAGATTCAACAAGAATCACACACCTAGGACGCATCCCAAGGGACAAGGTATAACATCCCAAACACACAATTGTATTAAAATTATCAATAATACTATCAAAGTTTGAATAATACAAACAAAATTTTGTTTTTCAACCCACTATTAGTGACTCCTTTAAATATTAATAAGATTGTCATCTATGTACCACCCTCAGTTTTGACTTGGGCAAAAATTGGACAAAAATATTGAGTTCTCGAGAACCACCTCTAAAACCATAGTGTTACATTAGGTGCAAACATTTCAACCAGGTCTATTGTGACTCTGTAATTGCCCCAGTACTTACACACACCGGTTTACACAAATAACCAAGAGTTCAAGATTTAAACATCCCCAAGTTCAAACAAAGTAAACTCCACAATTGTATAGTAAAAATAAAGATCAAGACCAACATTATTACATGATTTTGTCAATAATCCAAAAAGTTATCCTTTTACAAATGACAAAACCAAACCCCCATCCCAAAAAAAAAATTCCGATAGAAAAAAGAATAAGGGAAAAAAATTAAGAACATGACGTATAGGAGGAAGTGGTCGCGCGTGTGAGTACGCAAGATTTAGACCAATAACCGTATAATAGGTACTTTGAAAAATATTTGAGTAGGAAACAAAAGGCTGGACGGAATTTGGTCTTCCTTTTTTTTTTTCCTTTTGTTTTGAGTAGGAAAATATTTTAGAATATTGGAGAAGTAGGAAATTTTTTGTTAGTATTTGTCAGCGTATTATTGTGAGGCCCGTTTCCAGCTATAATGAGGTGACATTTCATTATAGCTATAAACAATGAGACGTGTTCCTTGCTGGTCCAAACGTCAGATGATTTTGGTGCTCAGGTCCGGCGTTACCACATTCTTAGTCTAGATGATAAGCAATTGGGACCCTAATCATTTAAGGAAATCTAACTACAAGGCAATTGAAACTAATCTTTGTTCCCTTGTAGAAACTGAACAGATACGACTGAAAAAAAGGATAAAATTCTTATACGAACATTCTCCAGAAGAAGATATATACCTCTGAAAAATAGAAACAAAATTGCAGCTTATTTTCCCAAAGCTCAGCATTTTTACATCAATTAAAAACAGCAAACAATAGAAAACTTGAATACATTAAGCACTGAAGCTTGAGCAAAGCACAAATATATTCTTTCACAATGTGTTGGACATGGGTGATGCGGTATGAAAGTGAGACAAATAAAAGGGGTTACACGACTACTCTCAATAGGAAGAATCAAAGGTGATTCACAATCAATCCTAAAAGAAAATCAGGATTCAAACTAGAACCCACATTTGATTCTACAAGAAGCACACACCTACGATGCACCTCAAGGCATAAATGATGAGCACCACAGGGGAAGTAGATCATCCCCTAGAAACGATGAAACCAGAGCAAAACATACAAAACGATCCAGGTCCAGATCAGCTGAGGTTAACCATAACTTTGGTGATAGGATGGATGAAAGTAGAGAAGAAAACTCCAAGCACAAGGAGCGGAGGAGGTCCAGGTCCTCCTCCATTGAGGGCAAGACTCGAGAAGAGAAGTCCAAGCACAAGGAGCGGAGACGGTCCAGGTCCTCGTCCACTGAGGACAAGATTCGGAAACGAAGTAGATCGTCACCAAGAGTTTCAGGTGAAACCAAATCAAAATATAAAAGGCGGTCCAGGTCTAGATCTCTTGAAAAAAGACGTCACGTTGGTAGTAAAGTAGACAAAAACAGCGAAGAGAAGTCCAAGCAACACGAAAGAAGGCGGTCCCGGTCAAGGTCTACTGAAGGTAAACGGCACAAAAGTAGTGGGATGTAGCCTAGAAGGACTGATGAACGGAAAACAAAACATAGCAAGCGCTCAAGGTCAAGGTCAACGGAACACAAGTATCACTCGAGTGACAATGGTCTACAGGAAAGTAAGCATGAGAATGTGAAACATCTGAAGGAAAGACCCACCGAATCAGATGATTCCTCCATGGAACTTGGTCCTATGGACTTAAATGATTCAGAAAATGATGATGGCCATATGGAAATCAATAAAAGGGATGAGCGTGACTATGATAGAACCGAGGCTACTCTGACAGAACTAAACCTTACCAAAGAAACGTGAACTAGTTTGAAATGCTGTCACCAAAGGCAATGGTATTTATTTAGTGTAATGAAGGATTGCTAATGCATCAAAAGCAACCTGTACTTTGAAGTAACTCGGTTTGAAGTTTAGGCTTGTGTGGAAAGGGCTGTGAAAAGAGGAAGATCTGGGTTTCTCTTGGAAGATGCCTCAATTTCTTTTCTGCTCCCAAATATTAGGATGATATGTGGCTCTCTTGTGATAATTACTTCTTTTTTTTTTTCCTTCCTTCTCCCGATTGCAGGTTGTTGATGGAGTGGAGTTGCTGTATTCTGAAGCTATCTTGCTATCATATTTCAGGAAGTCCTGTGCCTATTTAAATCAACTGAGCTATAATTTACGGAACTACTGTATGAGCTTGATCTAAGCTGATCTCTTACCTTTATCAGTAGGTAGTGAGTTTGTTCAATGCTGTCTCTGTTTAAGGATTTTCTCTTTTTAAGGATACTGGTGACTCATTTAATGTTACTACTGAACTTTGTCCTGCATCTCTTTCCTCTTGAATGGTATTTGCTTGTCCTTTAGGAAATCTGTGGTTAGAGGAACCGGCCACCTATCTTTAAACTGTTTCAAAACATTAGAACTCTTAGCTATTGTGAGTTCTTGTTCCCCTTCTTTTTTCCTTGGTGAAGTATACAGTTTGGAATAAGGAGAACCATAGTCTGCACGTTAGGAATTAATCTATTATTTTTATTACAGAATATTTGTTTACTCGCGGGGAGATAGGTCATCTTACACCTCTTTCCCTTTGTTCTTTTTTTATTGGACATATTTTTTATATTTTCTTCTTGAATTTGTTATTGATAAGCAGCGGGCAGAGCTCTATGTTAATAGGGGATTTTGGGCAATAATAGTTCATTTTAGATTCGCATTTGATGGTTTTGGTGGGTCTGTTACATTTCAAGAACATGCAGGTCCTCAAGCTGGTATCAAGTGGTGCTTTACTGATCAATTTGGCAAGATTGTGTTATCTGGTTGTATATGAAGGTATGCAATCATGGATTCTGGTGGTCTAGTGGCAGGAGCTTTTGCTGTTAATTTTGACTGATACATTGAATTGTTCACTGATTTTTGTTGGTCCAATTTTGATTGAAGATGAAGTTTGTTTCTGTACTTGATACTTTGTAATGCTCCTTTCCTCATGTTTCTTTTGTCTTTTCCTTTTTTTTTTGGTTTTTTTTTTGGGGGGGAAGAGGGGAGGTTGGGTTTCCCCCTTCCCTTTTCTCTCTTCTTTCCTTCTTCCCTGTTTCTTCTCTATATTCCTTGGAATGCTTGATTAGGTAATTTATCATTGACTCGAAAAGGAGGTTGCTGAGATGGTTAGCAACATAGCTTCCAGCTTTTCTCCCTGTGAAGTGATCACATTGGCCAACTTAAAGGGGCTGAGTTTCATGGTGAAACTCTATGTGCGCAGGTAATTAGTTGTCTTAGACTGTTATCCAATATTGTCTTCCTTGGAGGGAAATGAAGTTAGCAACCCTACGGCACGGAGATTACTCTTACTAAAGATACCTATCACTAGACAAGTAGTCTAACCCTCAGAGCAGCAGATAGCTTGTTTGGTACATGAACCATCTAGTTTAATGATGGGTATATTAACATTAGTTTCATGTTGCTGATGTTTAATTTTGGAGTACATTGATGATCATTGCTCGATCTGTCTATATGCGGTCTGTGTGTACGTGTACGGATGGGGAAAATGGTGATTAAGCTGAAGCTCGTGAGCCAGTTGGCTGAAGTTCAGATCACCTTACACTCTTTTATCATCAATATGGAACAAACCTAATGTCTCAATGGCATATGCTATTAATGTCACAACAATCTAATGGTGGTGCTTCTTTGTCCTTTAACTTCAATATTCTCACATGTTAGTTAATTTGTTTTGGATAGGTAAACTTTATTAATTGAAATCTAATAGAACACACCCTATAGTTAATTGCTAATGCACTCCACCAAAAGTATTCTGAATTCTTAACTATATTGGATATGGTGGAGTTCATTCAGCATGGACCTTTTTTTTTTTTTTTTGTACTTATAACACGGGTTGGCTCCAGTCACATTTCTTGGACATTTGCGCATTCTTTGTTGTTGGTGAGAGATTTGTAAGAACTACTGGCTTGAAGGATGGGCAACCTCGCAACTTGCTTCCTAAACTTTTATTCTTAACAAGATTGTTAAGGGAATTTTTTTTTTTGTGGCCTCATATTATTGATAAAACAAGTGATATGGGTAATATCGTGGAAATGTGGAAACCACAATATTCGATTTAAAGGCAAGAAAAAAGTTGCTGCGAACTAAAATATAGCTCCGAGATTGAATTCTTATATATAATCTAGCCTTCGACAATGGCTGTTTCATTGTACGCCATTATGTTCAAAAAGTCATTGATCACTGCATAAAGTTAAAGAGGAAACGTCGTGGATGGTCCATAAAAACGATTGCTTCTGTATGATTTTAGCCAATCAACTATAAACTATCACAAAGCAGCCCTTGAATTAAAAAAAATGATCAATTTAAGCACTTTTATCAATTTTTGCCGTTAGACAAAATTAGGGTTAAGGCAATCAAACAAAAAAAAATCAATAGCTTAACAGTCCTCATTAATTAAATTAGGGTAAGAAATGGTAGAAGATGAAAGAAAATGAAGCTTTAACACGCTATTTGTTTTGACGGAATAGGAGGGAAGGGAAGGGAAAGGAAAGGAAATGGAGGGAAATGATTTTTGATGTTTGGGATTGGTTTTTGCAGAGAGAGAGAGGAAATGATTGGGAGGGAAAAGGATTTAGTTATTTTTGGTCAGCTTACTTTTGGTCTAAAAGTGGGTAGAAATGGAGGAAAAGGACATTAAGATTAATGGAAATTTAAAAATTTTCCAAAAAGCCTATTATGTGTGTATAAATTAAACTTTTAAATTATAGATAAAAACGTAATGAACGGATGGATTAGAAATGTACTATTGGTGTGTGCTTCATAGGTGTGGCTAACACTTTTTGTATAGAATCACTTGAGCCTTTACTCATATAAATGTACATTTTTTGTCCATCAATACAAAATCTATCGTTGCTGAAAAAAAAAAAAAAAAAAGGTCCGAGACAAGGGGGAAAATACCCTGAAAAAAAAAAACCTTTATGGGGAACATCAACGTAGTGAAAGTAGACAAAGCCGTTTGGGATGAAAATATAATTATGTTATGTGACCTTTAACTAACTTGTAAGACTCTTATGGGACCTTTTTTTGTCAATTTGTCAAAACTGAGAAGTTTTCCACCCCACTTCCACTTGTCCATTTCAAAACTCTCCATGAGTGATGACAAGATGTTCACTCTTGAGCTAAATAAGATGCTGGATTGGCTTTGTTTTGAGTATATATTATAATTATTACAACATGTGGGTGTTTTAGAAGCCAATTGTTAATTTTTTTTTTGTTCACGTTAACATTTAGAAGAGATTTACACAATCAGCATTATTATCTTAAGCGAAACATCAACACCAGATTCTAACTTTATAGCAATTTAACTCGAAATAATTGGATGATGATTATTCTTATGGCAACAAACACTTTTTCTGGAGGTTATTGTACTTTGTTCTTGTAAAAAATAATTTATGAAAGGGCTTTTTGAAAATATTCTTCTTTTTTTCTTTTGCTGATCAATATGCTAAAATTTGGCAGTAAAAAGTAAGAGCAGCTAACATACCTGCAACAATGAGAACAATAAGAAATAGGCAAGAAAAAAAAAACCCTCAACTTAGATCAAGAAACAAAACAGAAGCCTGGTTTTTACATTCTATTTGTTTCAGTAAAACTTCCAAATTCTTACTCAGAGCCAAGGAAAATGCAATTAAGCATTCAAAGCCAAGGAGATTAAACTTAAGAACATGTTAGTTTGAGAATGATTTTATGTACATGCAGTCATATTAAAATTTTACAACACCTAGCAACCTTGATGTTTTTTTCTTCATGCTTATGAATGACAAGAAGAAAAAGACATGCAACTGCAAGAATTTTATGTGTAGGCAGAGTTTTAATTCAACCTGTGTTGGGGTGATGGTTCACCTACAAAATGTAAATTAATTGACAAGAAATGACAGAAGATTAGAGAGATTTCATGTTTTTCAATTCCTATTGACGCCATATCATTCCCACCTTAGTTTAATATGCTTCTTCTATTGCTTCAGAGCATGACTCATGAGTTTTAAAATTCTTGCTAATTTAGACATTTGTGATGACCATCAACAACAGAACAAAATCTCTGCCGTCTAAGCATTAATCAATTGTTCACTTGTAACATTCCACAGTGAATTCTGTGTTCCATAAATAATGTGACTTGTAGGTAGCTTTTTTTTTTCCACTTATAGAAAAGGAGAATATCAAAATAGGAGGGGACGAGGATGTACGAAACAGAAACTGAGACATTTAACAGTTATTTTAAGGCAAGATACAAATGCTTCAATCACCATAATATATTTGATATTTAGCTATGTTCCGTAGTAAATTTATTGGCTTTGTTTTGAGCTCGAAAATTTAACGAAATTAGAAACGATATTTAAAGAAAACAAAAGTATATGAATTTTCATTTGGTTCTCTTTATTTCACCCATAGATTTATCTTAAAGTGATAATATTGTTAAGAGCCCCAAATTCAATCATTAAATATTACTCAAAATAGTAGAAAATGAGTGTGGAAACATAATTGTCTTTCAAGGACTAAGTTGAGATATTTTATTGTAGACATTTATGGATAATATTTGCACCGATGCATTCAACCTTCAAAGCCGACATGAACAAAAGTTCCAAAAACTGTATAAATTGTTGCAATCGTACTCACGAAGTGCACACATGAATCGATAGTGTCCCCTTATGAATTCTTGATTAGGTAAACAATACTGCCTGTTGAAATTAGTACTAACTCTGTCATGGTTGTAAATGGCTAAGTGCTATTGTCCTTCATCTCCCAAACTTTCCACTTTCCAGCCAAAAAAAAGAAAGAAACAATCGCAATCTCCATGAGTTATTGCACGGTTTTCTTGAGGGCATCGACTCATTGTATAGTAACAGATATAGCTTGTGTTGGGACACTTTTCTCTGCTGCCAAGTTTTCGACAGTCACCAGTTACAAATATCTGTCTTTCGGCTAGCTAGTTCTTCAAGGAAAAAATGGCTGCAGCCAAATCTGGAAAGGTGAATATTGATTGTATGCCTAGCTGGACCTAGATTTCTTTCTTTTTTCAAGTTTGTGTGTAGTTTGGGGAATCAACTCATAGACAAATTGTATAGAAACGCTCGAAAAGGATAAGGAGTTGCAAATTAAAGCAATTTCAACATTCTTGAATTGTCTTGAAGCAATATTTTATACTTCTAGTTGTCTACATGCATATGGGTAGGCGGTCTCTAGAATTGCCTGATTAAGCTTCCTCCCAGCAATGGTTTCTTACTAATTGGTTGGATTTAGCTTTGTGGTTGTTTGTCTGAAATGATTCTAATTGCTTTGGGTTTTCTTACTGAAAAAAAAAATGTTTGGGGTTTACAGAACGACATAAGTGACCTAGAACCAGTGAAGCCGGCTGACCCTCGTGTGATCGAGATCGGACAATTTGCAGTGGCAAAGCACAACGAGGAGCCCGGGATTGAGCTGTTTTTCGTCGCCGTGGTTGGCGGATTCACGTGGAGCAATTACTACGCGATTATCATTGAAACTCAGGATGGTGACGGCGCCACATATCTGCACAAAGCATTGGTTTTTGCGATCTCAGATGAAGGCTTGGAACTCATCTGGTACAAGAATTAATTAAGCACTACTCTTGATCATCAACTGAGGATCAACGACTTCAAGTACTTTAATTATCTAGTGTCTATATATGGTGTGGTTTTCAGTTTACGCATGCATGGATGATGTGCTGCTGCCATGCATACATCTTCCCACTGTTGTACTAGTATGTTAAATAAGGTGCGATTATACCAACAAAAATGCACCATTCCGTCTGTGTTTGAGTTTGTGTTTGTGTTTGTATCCTTGTACTGGTATGCATGTTAAAGGTGCACTTTCACGGACAAGAATGCACCATTAAATAAATAAAAAGATGACAGTTTCTGCTTTCTGCGACCATTCTTTTGGTCATCTTAAAACAACATGTGTCCTACCATGTGCTAGTTAAGTTTAGAATGCGTAGGTATGAACAATGAATCGTCCATTATCTTTAAAATGTGACAACAAAGTTAATAGATCTACGTACCGTTAGATTATAATACTTATCCCTATATTTTGTTTGAAAAGTCAATGGAGCGGAGATCATGAGATTCAACACCAAATCATTCAAGCAATCAAGAAGAAAATAATGCCTTATGGTCAATATTAAGGAAAAATAAATAAATAGAACTTTCTCGTTTTTCAATTCTAGAACCATTTTTTTTCTTCTTTTTGTGCAACACTATCTCTTGATTTCACTATAGCTAAGTGCTTAGGCACTTGATATAGGACACATACATACACACACATACATATAGATACACATATACATATGTGTATATACACATATATATACCCGTATACATATACACATATACATATACACACACAGATGCATACACATGCATAAATACTATAATAAAGTATGTGACTTGCACGTGAAATTGATGCTCTCGGATTTCCCCCTTTTTCTCAACATTTTGAGAAAATCAATGTAATTGAGACAAAAATAACGTGATATTTAATATTTTTATTTTTTAAAAATATTTTTCAAAACTTGTTTTACTCTAACCAACACAAATGCACAAGTAACAAAGCATCATTTATTCCAAAAGAACTTTCGTTTTATAACCGTACGTATCAATATTTTCGCCTTTTGGTTGAATTTGGGTGACTTGAATATTGTTCTCTTTTATGTCATTTGAGTTAAAGTTTTCATCTTCCTGAATAATTTGTAGTTCTACTTTATATCATTCTATGAAATTTTTAATAGTTCCCTTCAAATTTTTTCCCATTAATGGTGGAATGTAAAGTGATCCATAGTGATATTGCAATTATAAAGAAGAAATTTAACGCATTTAAGGTATTGACTGGTGTTATAGCTATGTACCATTTTGAGTAGATGTAGCTTTGGAGTGTTGCAGAACTGTACGTTTTGTTGAATGAGGGTTGAAGCTTGAGGAAATGGATATTTCCACACCGGCCTAATCATGGATGCGTAAATTCGTGCTCCACACTGCTCCTTGTCAATTTTTTACGCATATTAAGTCAATTTTTTGTAGGTATTAAGTTAATTTACGTCATAGTGGCAGCTCCGACCAGGACACTAGATAACACCAATTGCTGAGTTTGACTTAAAGCCAGAATTACTTCTATATGATTATCTGATCTTTCAAGTAGTCATGACTATACTAAACTGCAGCCAGTCACGACCATGTCACAATATTCCTGCCTCTTCTGTGAACTTATTGAGTATCAGTAAAAGTGATATTTGCATCAAAAATTGGTTTAAAATTGGAATAACATATTTTTCTCTCTTTTTAAGAGTTTGGATAAGATATATTTTAAGTGATAAGCAACGACCCTGATCAAAGTTCAGTGTAGTCATTCTTAGCGCATAGCGCATGCGTGTGTGTACAATGATGAAGTCTACCAAGTATCGGAAAAAAATCGCAATTGTACATTTAAAAAATTGTATAACAATAAATTGAAACTAAATTAGTGCCTAGGGGTGCAAAGTAGAAACAGGTTATATAAGTTAGGGGTGCAAAGCTACATTTGAGCTGCTAACTAAAAAGTGCATAAGGTGCGTGAGTGTAATTTCTGCTAATTTTATTGACACAATAAGCCATTCGACCAAACCAAAATGGGAAGAATATGAAAGTTTGAGGTGCAATGTGACTAGAATTGAAATTTGAGATACAAAGTGATAATCAAACACAAGTTACAGGTACAAGGTATAATTAGTCAAATTGTTTACCACTGTTATGCCAAAAATGCCAAAGGAGGGGTTGGGTGTTAACTATTAACCATTTTGTTAATTTTTAGTTTCTTTTTTCACCTTTTCAACAAAGGGAAAAATGATATTATAGTTCTAGAAAAAAAAATGAAAAATGAAAACGACGGGCTGCAGAAGGGCTGATTGCAAATAGCAAATATTGTTGAAATGGTTTGAGAGGCTAATTGCAAGACCGCGAAGAGTGCAGGCCCCAGGAAATAAAAAATCTCCAAGATCTGCCAATAGCTTTAATTTTCTTCTTATGAGTTTTTTCTCTATTAATTTGCATACAGATTCCTACTAGCACACATATTTATTGGGGCACAAAAAGTTTTTTCTGTAAACCTTTTTTTTAGAAAAATAACCCTTTCTTTTATTGATCATCAAAAAAATCTTCACAAAGTAGTAATAGCTCCTACTACATCTGAAAGAACAAATCTAGGGATCAATCACTATACAACTAGTACTGCAAACTAAAAACCAAGGATTGGCTCAGAAAGTGAATTCAGTTAATTTGAGATATTTAAATGTGATATTCGAAAATCAAATTAAATTAAAGGGTTAATTACCGTTTTGACAGGTTGTCGAGTCTGTGCAATAATAAATACTTGCTCAAACAAAATATAATTTCTGTAGATAGTGATAAGCAAGGTCGAATCCACAGAGACTGGGGATATTTGTCTCTTTTGAAGTTCAAACTAACAATGGGGGGTTTTTTTATAGCAATGGCAGTAATTAAACGGTCAGAATAAAAATAAATAGCCGACTAAAAATTAAATGACAAATTATTAAAATCAAGTTAATAATAACTAAGCTCTAGTCAAGAAATAACTTCGGCAATGGTTCATCTAATTGATTATCGATGCAAAGGTAATTCCAATTATTAACTAATAAATAAGTTATAACTGCCAAACAAACGATGACAGTCAACTCCTCCTTACTGTATCGGTGATTAAGGTACGCCTGTTAATCACTACTCTAATAGAGAAAATAATCTTAGGTACGTCCGTAAGATTTAATTTTTCAATTGCCTTACGTATTAGAGGAGCCCTATTCTAACCAAATAACACGCTACCAGGGTTATTTTAGATTAGCTCGCGTATTCCCCTAACACAAATCTAATCATGCCAGTTGCCACTATTTTAGAGCAATTAAACAATGAGTAAATTTTTCCTACACTGACTGTGTATACACTATCATTGTTGGTTTCATGACATGTGTACAAAAGTTGAATTTCAATTTCAAATTTTGCATAGTTGTCATTCATCCAACGCTGATAGTGTATACACTGTCAGTGGATTTAACGCTCCAATTGACATTAGGTTGCCAAATTAATTCAACATCCGGGCTCAAGATATTCAATTAACAAAACAACCATAAGCACTACAATCAGAGAATATACAAATACTAGTAAATAAGAAGAATAAATAAAATTAGTTCGATCTCACAATTTTTAGATGAACCAAAACCTCCGTTGTTCCTTGACTAGAAAAGAAAACTAGCCGCACATCATTGAGAAGAAACCGCGCGAGTTCATTGAGACCCTTCGCGTCAGCATTCAACAAAGAAAACTAAGTAATAAGAATAGACAGCCAAGCGGCTGCCGTTTCCCCCACAAAGAGTCACGGTACTCTCCTTAGATTTGTTCCTTAGCCGAGGTATATATCAAACGGGAATCGGGCTTCCCTTATTCTTTATTTTCTACTTAACCTCAACTACTAATAATAAAATATGTTCTCCAAAATATAAAAAGGAAACTACTAAAGATAATATTCCAAGTTTTCTAATCCAATACTAAGACTAATAATGAAAATTAAAATATTCAAAATCTTCCTCTAATATTGCCTTGAATTTGATTCAGACTTAGAAACCGGTTCTGAACGTGCCACCATCAAATTAATTGGAAAATTACCACTTTTTGTCACGTTTTGCTCTTTTTCCTACAATTAGCACCATTAACCAAATATAAGTAGAATCCATCAATTAACGCAATATTTGGTAAAATAAAAGAGGGAAATAACCATAAAATTAATGAAAAAAATGCAACCTATCATGTTTGCACCCTAAACTATTCAACAATTGAACTTGACACCTTAAATTTTTAATTTTAGCAATCAACTACTTTTAACTTTTACTTTTTTGCAATCCATTACAATCCACTAAATTTTGGCAATTAAAAAGACCATTATCATCCTTTGTTCCAAAAATACCCTTTTCTATGCATATACTAATAGTTACAGAAATTTTGCACAAGTAATTAGCTAATAAATAAATGATTTCAAATGTAAAAAAAAAGTAATCTACCTTCCAAATTCAATCACCAAAGTCCCACAAAACCATCCTAAAAATTATCTCAAAAGACATACCCAAAATCTCCATCTCCTGCCCCCTACTCGGTCGTCCCAATTCCAGAGAAGAAGCAGCACCATTGCTACCTCTTCCATCTCCACCCCTTCACGCTACCAGCCTCTTGTCCTAGGGAAGGGCTTAATGCTGTCCATCTTAACGACGAGCAGCAGAACAAGGGTGGCATGCATTTTTTTCGCGCAAAAAGGTGGAGCTTGAAGGAGTTAAAATCATCTGCCGTTGAAGGATTGGAATTGAAAAAGGGTGTTGATCAAAAAGGTTGAAAAAAAAGTTTTGCATTTGATCAAGAGAAGATGACCATACTAGTAGATTCAAGAGGTTATGGTAATAATGCTGGTGGAGGTGCGCCTGTTATGGCAAGATTTGGATATGGGATATTTTGCTGTTGGTTTTCATTTTCGTCCAATGATTTTTTGGGATTAATTCATCGTGCGAATTAAAAGAGGTTATGATAGTGGTAAGGTTGAGAGGTTATGGTGGTGTTAATGGTAATGGTGACGGTGATGCAAATGTTTACAATGATGAGATTTGG